GAATCGGGTTTCCTAGACCAGCATGTATTTTCTAGTCTAATGTGACAGCGATTCTGTTCCAGGAAAGTACAGTAGAGAAAACAGATGCTTGCCCAGAAATTCAAGTGAGTTAAATACCAAGTTGTCCAATAAGCGCAAAAACGCAAGGCTTCAGAATAAAACTTGTTTTCAGGTTTATGTTTAAGGAATAAGCAGAAATGATGGGGACAATGGGAGCTTTTAAACTGGCAGTCTGTTGAGATGGAGTGCAGCAAAGCAGCCTGGATGTGCAGCTCCTCAATTGAAGCATTCAGGTGAGTGCTGTGCAGTTCCTCCCCGAGTGCCTCATTAGGAACTCTTGGCTTGAAGGCAAGGTTAATCACTGAAGGGGTTACTTCTTGTACAGCCAGACAAATCTCTTGTTTACTGAAGCCTTGGCTTCATACTTTTGCTTTCAGTGGCCTAATCTTCAGCTGTATCAGAAAGTAAAAAGGAAAGGCAGTAGGGCTCTGTTATCACCTGTAAAGTATTCTGGTGTTTGGTACTGTGCCTTTTGGAAAAAGCAGCCTGCTTAAGTATTGCCTACGAAGATCTGGTGGTTCAACACTATTTTCTGGTGACTAATATAAACTAAGGGTGGCTTGTTCATAGTTGTGAAAGACTGTAGCAGCAGTTGGAAGTGTTTGAGCAGGATGCTGGTGTCATGGAAAACCTGCTGCTTTTCATGCTCGTGAAATCCTCCTTCAAGTGGAGCTGAGATTCACCTAAAGAAAAATAAGCCCAACAGTTACAGAACACTTTGCAACCTCTTTCTCTCTCACTTAGGGGGGAAAAAAAATATATATATTCCTATTTAGAGAAGCGCAAGGCTTGTGAGCCAGTTGAAAACTGAAGAAAGTTTTGCAGTTTTTGGGGTCCGTTTTTCTTATGGCTTATTGTTAGAGCACTGGGTTTGCTATGTTAGGATCCATCATGAATTTGCTGCCTTGTTTTATGTGATTAAACTGCTTTTGGTTGGTGCCCTCCTGGTGTGTGCCCTCAGTTGTCTTAATCCAGGATGTGCTGCCTTTGTTTTGTCCACCCCTCAAAATTAATTGTGTTGCCTTTACGTGGAATGTTGTATTTCCAGTCTCCCAGGGGAATGCAGTCATAAATATAATAGCTGGTGCAATTATCACAGGCAGCTGTCACACGGCCGTGTACGTGGGGATGCGCCCTGTCGTCCCAAAGCCAGCTCTTATAGCCGGGCTGTTGGTAACGCCTGCAGCATCAACATGTGTTAACATAGAACACCTTTGTGTTTCCAGCATGCTTTCCATGCCACAAATGTATTTTTTTTAATATTAAGAACTAGATTTTTTTAATGGTTAAGTTTTTAGTGGAGATGTTCCTCTTGTCATCCTGATCTGTGAGGAGGAACCTTTACGATTCTGCTGCGTCCTCGCCTTGCTGTCTGGCTGTAGGCTGACTGCATCCTTCTTTGTTTGGCAATGAGAAATGTGTTCCTCAGGGCCACTCAGAGAGGGGGTGGAATAGCATTTTTGGTTCACGGGTTTGGGTTGGTATTTTTCCCTTGGATTTTCCTGTGTGATGGCTGTAAGTTGCTTACAGTCAGATTCAGAGTCGCATAAGAGTATTACATTGCTGCATGTAGTGGCTCTGGGTCTGTAGTTGAGCATCTTGTGATGTGAGCTCAGTCTGTCAATGGGAATGGCAGTGAAGTCATACCCCAAGGAGGTGGCACTGGGGTGTGGGTGACTGAAAGGAACCTGTATCAAGGCTGCAGCTGTGTGAGCAGGCAGGCTGGGACAGAATTGTGTCTGTGCCCCACAGTAAAGTAGGGAAGAGAGAAGTTCCTTACAGAGTGAGAGTGGTGCCTAGCAGTGCTGAGAGCTGAAATGTTGAGGTTGGCAGCAGGGATGTTGCTTTTCAGTGGTGCTCAACCCAACTTTCTTCTTCAGTTATTTTAGTACAGGTGGAGGCAAAACAGTGGAAAGGTTTCCTGGAGTACTTGCTGGCTCTGAACAAACTTCCTAAGCAGCCACAGAAGCAGCCTGTCAGTTCTGCTCTGAGTTGGGGTGCTCTGGAGGCCAGCCCTGAGCCAGGCGCTGACTGGGGGCTCCCAATGCTTGGAGGCAGAGGGGCTGTGCCCACAGAGTGAGAACAGGAGGCCGGAGCTGCTGCTGCCAGGAGCAAGCTTGCTTTGGTGGGGGAAAAGATCAGACAACCTGGTAAGTCTTCCTTCAAAAAAATTCTGTTCTTTGAGTCGAGGTTACAGCACAAGGAATCCTGCTTTTTTAAAAAAATCCACCACCACTGCTTTTGTTCTTCTTATGCAGTGAAGATAAAGGTGAGCCCAAAGACATCTTTTCTCTCGCCCACACAGGGTAAGAAACAAGAGGACTGTGCAGGTTTATTTTCTTCAGTTCTTTGTCACGTATGAGAGGGCTGTGTTACTCCTGGGGTCACTCAGACTCAGATGTTTTTGTTGTGTTTTTAAAACAGCATTAGATGAGCACTATATACACGTGTCAGGCTTTGACATTTTCATAAACAACAAAAAGCAGCACGAGAATGACAGGGGTTGCTGGGGTGCTGCGGCCTTCAGAGGCCAGAATGTGCAGCAGAAACTGCAACAGATGGAGTGGTTTTTCAGCTTCACTCAACAGCTGCAGCCCTGGGAGCTGGCTGCAGGACACGAGCTGGGCTCCACCTGAGCAGCCGGCAGCTGTGCCTGTTGTGTTCAAACACTGCATTTTCTAGACACCTAAGGTCTGTCTTGTTGCACAGTAGTCATCTTTGCTGAATAAGATGTTAGCAATTTTCCTCATGCTGAACATCTGCTTTCTGGCTGAATCACTGAGCAGGCGGCAGGCTTGTTTGAGCCTGCTGCCCTCCCAAAGCTGCTGGTTGCCTCTGCCTCGCCGAAGGCTGTGTGGGATGGGTTTGCTTTGTGGCTGAGGTGCCAGGCCCTGGTTCCCTGGTGGCTGCAGGAGGGTCCTTCTCATGGAAGGGATGGTGGGATAAAAGGAAAAGGTTCTTTGGCACTTTGGAATGAACCTTCACACCTGGCTTTCAAGGGTCTGGGCTTGCAAGAACAAAATGGAGAAGAAAAAATGCAGTAAGGTTGTGGTGATGCTTTTATCTTCCACGAGTTTTGAAGTGACTCATAAATGAGATCATCACACATAACTTTAGGCACAGAAGGCAGAGTGTGAATTTGGTAAATAATGTGGTGCCCCCTTCCCCCCCATTAAGAAGTTGTTTATCAGCAAAATTACCATAGAGTTTGTTTTCACTGAGACAGGAGAGCTGTTTAATCACTTGCCAAAATCTTATGCAAATACTACAACCCGAAGCACAAGTATTTTGTGTTGGTAGGTGTTAGCCTTGCAAGCTTCCTTAACTGATCTGAACGGATTGATCAGCATTGGTAGGTGATTGATGCTGAAATGTTTTCTTTTCACGTGCGGGATGCCTTCAGATCAAATGCGAGCTTTCAGTCAGAAAAACAGCAGAGGTGTCTGAGTCTGGTTCAGACAGGTAAGTAGCAAAGATCAGTGGCATTTCTGGAAGGGCAGAGCACATCTGCTCCTGTTTGTGGGTAAGAGCTAAGGAGTGAGTGCACGAAAAGAGCAGGGGCTGTATGCCCTGTGTAAGCCCCTTCCTGCAGGGGAAGAGGCTTTCTGGTGCTGCAGCAGAGCCGCTTGGTGCTCGCTTCCCTCCTACAGCTGCCACCACCTCTGCAGCTACGTAAAAATTTGCCCGGGAAGTCACTTGATTCTGCCAGTGATATATTATCCCTTTAATTAAATAGATGACTTGTGCTTGACAATTAGTTGGGGTGGAATGATGTATGCTTTTTATTAGAAACCCATGACTAATTTTCTCTGGCTGTTCTTGCTTTCTTATTGTTCTTGCCTACCCTCCTGCAGTGTCGCTGCTGCGTGCCAGCCGTGTCCTCCAGGCACTGGTGCAGGCCGGTGTTTGCTCTTGCTCAGGCTATTACCTGTTCCAGACAAAGCAACTATTTTCAACTGTTTTCCATGTCGTCACTGTTGTGCTTTTATTTTTAAACTGGGATTTTTAAAGTGGTCTTAAAAAAACCCGGTCGTATGACTTCATCTAGTACCGCATCCCCAGGTTAGGAGTAATCCTTCCTGCAGCAGTGTCTCTGCATGTGATCTGCAGCAAACTCAGGTGAATGTGGGCAAGATTCAAAAGGGGTGTGACTGGAGACACTGTTACTAACATCAGTACAGCAGCAGCTGCAAAGAGCTCAGTTTGTCCCTTACCTCCTGACCTGTAAGAAGGTGAAGCTCAAGCCTTTTTCTTACAGTACAGCCATCTATGACATGTGCTGTACTTTATGGCTTTTCCCTCCCTTAGAAAACTTGAGTCTTTTCATAGAAAATATGTTTCCGTGGATAAATTTAGGCATGGATGAGAAGGGAACAATGCATTCTTTGTTAACACTAATGTTTTGTGCTGGGAGTGAGCTTAAGAGGAAGGAAATGTGGCTCAGATTTTTTTTTTGTTTCTTTTGAAATTTCTTCCTCTTCTTCTTCCTCATCCTCAGACCACTCTCCCAAAAAAAGACCAAAAATCCGGACAAGTAGAAATCCTCAAACTGATCTTTCACCATACATGTCTTATAAATGGATAATATTCAGTATCCTTGGAAAGCTCTAGAGAAAAATGGTCCATGTGAAAATTATTCTGTCAAGAACGTGCAGTGTTTGTCTCAGCTCTTCCAATTCGTACACTTAGTGGGGTTTTACACACCCTGTGTCACCGTGGCATGTAAAGTAATTTCAGCTTCAGTTGATCCACTTAAAGATTTTGCTCAATTGTGTGCTTTTGATCTCTCATCCTTGGGTTGATCATTCACAGGATCTCTCTGGAAGGAAGAACTCTTAAGGGGTTGGTAGGGTTGAGAATGCCAGGGGAAACTTAAGGTGGGAATGCAATTTAATTTTTAATTGGCTACATTGTGAGCTGGCACTTAGCTGGGAATTACTCTTTCTCTTCTTTTCAGCAGAGGACTCAGCTGCTGCCGGACACATTTCCTTCCTGCTGCCCTGGGAGTGCACTTCCTGGCCACCATGGCTGATCCCACAGCAGAAGAGCAGGCACAGCACGGCGCTGAGCTGTGCTGTGAATGCGGTCAGTTCCACCTCTTGCCGGACAATCATCTCTACAACTTCCAGAATGAAGTGGACGATGAACTCATTTGCCACATCTGCCTTCAGCCTCTGCTCCAGCCTATGGACACCCCCTGTGGGCATACGTACTGTTTCAAGTGCCTTGAAAACTTCATGCAGGAGTATAACTTCTGTCCTATGGATCGGAAGAAGCTCTCTCTCCAGCAGTGCCACAAGTCCAGCCTTCTAGTCCGAAACCTGTTGGATAAGCTGGTTGTCATCTGTCCATTCAAGGCAGAGTGTCAGCAGACAATGCAGCGGTGTGAACTAGAAGCTCACCTGCAGAACAGGTGCTTTCCCATTTACCTTGCGTTATCGCGCTGCATGTAGTGCCATCTGTCTCTTGTGCTTCTGAGCAGAAAGCCTTTTAGATTGGGACAAAATGGGACAGCAGAGGTGACGTGACAGCAGGTGAGGCCAGAAAGGTGGGTGTGTGAAGACAGCATAATTGTGAGCTAGGGAAGTGAGCTCCCATGTGCTGCAGGGCAAAGGTTGAAGTCTTTCCTTGCCTTCTTGCAGGCAAGTTGTCTGTGGACACAACCACTCAAATGTATATAAATCGTGCCCTGATCTGGGGAGTCTGTCTCTTTGTAAACAATTCCAAAGATGTATATTCCTTCTTTCACTTGTGTGAAAAAGAAAGACAGACACTAAGTCAATACTCTGGAGGCAAGGGATCGTGCAGTGTTACCAGTTTAATTGGTCCAATTAAGATGTGCAATATATGTCTTTGATCCAAATAGTGTAAGTCCCTCCAAGCTGTGCATTATGCAGTTGTTGAATCACCTACTTATAATTTCATTATCCTCTCTCATTCTTCTGCTGAGAAAACGAAGCACATGAAATATATGTTTTTCCCTTTGTGTAGAGGAAGAGCTTTCTTTTTGCCTTGCACTTCAGCAGAGATGTGCTTAGGTACTTTCGTTGTTGGCTAAGCTGGTAGCAGGCAAAGTTCTGAAGTGCCAGTGACAGAGGTCTCAGCGTGGTATGGAATGACATCTGTTCCTAGTTAATGATTGCAGGAAAGGGAGCTAAGTGCAGGCTGCTTGCTAAGTGCAGGCAGAAGCAGGCCTTTGTTGGTGAGGTGTACTTTTCTCAGTTGGTATTGAGAAGCGCAGCTTGTTTCCCTTCAGCTGTGTTGTAGCTTTTTGAGTCAGAGCCATGTGTTATAAATAGGTCACCCAGCACTTGGGATACTCTCACAGTTCCAGCCAAGCTCATACCCTTGCTGTTTAGCCTGTCTTTGTTACCACAAGCTGAGAGCTCCTGTTAGAGTCGGGGCAGTGGTGGAAGATGCCCTGAGAAAGCTTACAGCATCCTTGAACTGACTCTGTACTGTTTTCTCATTGCCATAGGACTGAATGCTGGTGCTGCAGAAAGGACTGCCCACGTAGCTGTGGTGCTGCATGGGCATGGCCAGAGTGGGGCTGGGTATGGAGCTGAGGGGTCAGAACCTTCCTCTGAGCTTCTTAAGTCTGCCTTGGTACCAGTAAACTTCTGTCACTTGCTAATCCCTCTGATGCATGAGTTACACTTCAGAGAGGGAGGCATCCTTCAATGTTGATGACACTGACCTGACTGGAAACTATATCCTTCCCATACAGTTCTGAGCATCTCCAGTGGGGATGGAGTATTCTAAAAATCATGACTTTAGGTTGTGAGCGTTTTAAGTTTGAAAAGTGGAAAAAAGGAGGAAAAAAAAAAATTACACTGGGGTTTGGGTGTTTTTTTTAACTGTGAGATTAAATTATAGTAGGATACCTAAGGGAATAAGTAGCATCTAGCAGCTTGTTTCTTGGGGGATTCTGTTGCCCTTAGCAAAATTCATTTATTTCTCCATGTCTTAAGAGGGCTGTGCCCAAGTGAGTCAGCTAGCTTCTGCCTTTTAGGGTAACTTCTAGGGTCATTTTGTTGGCTCCAAGCGAAAGATGACCAGGGATACACCGGATAATACCTGGGTAAGGCTTGTTTATCCAGAATGTAAATAGAGTTTAATTTGAAAAGTGACTCTGGTAAACACCCAGTTCTACTCATGTCTCTGAAAGTGACTCTTTTGCATTCATCACTCTCCTTAACTGCTACTTTTCTGTAAGTGCTTTTGATAAAAGACCTTGTTTTTCCTCGCTCATTTTTGCTGAGATAGCTGCGGTGTAACTGCATACAGAGCACATTTTTTGAATGCAGAGTTACTCCTGGAACCTCCAGGTGGGGAGTGGTCAGTGGGAGTAAAGCTTCTGTGAATTGCTCCCGTTCATCTTCAGCACGGATTGGAGGCCAGGAGCTGCCCGAGGGTCAGGCCGCGTTCAGGGGAAAGAGAATCAAGCTCTGCTCACTGCTCTCGCATGTTACCAGCTCGTTAAAAACAAAGCTTGATTCAGAGCTGAGCTTGAAATTCGAGTCACTTCCTTTGCATAAAGTTACAGTTCATCATCAGCTCTAAAAGCACAGAGCTAAGTGTTTGCTTATGTTTTAAAAGAGGTATTGTCTTCACTGAGAGTTTGCCATGTAAATATTTAGCAAGTGAAGTCCTCTTCCCATTCCATTTTCCTTTTAAAAGTATTGAGCTTAATAATTTTGAAAGTAAGAGAGTAGGTTGTCCGCTCTTCTACTTAGGAAAGTAGAAGCTGAAAGTAGAATGAGAGCAACTTCAAGCATCTGTGATACAAGCTCAGCAGCTGCTGAGGTCCTGAACGTCCTTTGCCTGCTTTCCTCACTCAGAGCCTACGTGTGCTGCGTCAGCCACTTACGGTCACTGACGATCTCTCTCCAGGTGTCCTGGTTTCAAGAAATACAAATGTGAACTACAGCGGAAAAGGAACCCTGTTTCCAAAGGGAAGGAAGAGCCCCTCACCAAGGTGGAGACAAGTGCTCCCAGGGATCCAGAGGTGCCCAGGGATCCAGAGGGACCCAGTGGAGGATCCCCGCTTGTAGCAGAAAGCTCTGCAGCTGCTGTGGTGTCACTAGGGACCGCAGAGCCTGGACTGGTTAACCCAGCTTTTGAGGAGACTGAAGAAGGTGAGAGTTTGATAAACAGATGTAATTATGTAATTACCTTTTATAATATAAAAATGAGGTAATTATTTCAGACGCTTCTCCAGTATTGTTAGATATCCTCTCTTTCCTCATCTTGTTCTTGAGGAGAGGGAAGATACATTCATCAGATGTGCGTTGCATGTGGGAAGATCTGCTCAGAAGCACAGAACTGCTGGCACAAAACAACTCTGAGATCTCAGGCTGCAGTGAATGTTGTATTTACAGTTTTCTTTGCAGAAATTAATGCAGTTTCTCTCAATGGGAACGTGCAGCACTAAAAGCACTTATAGAAGCCAAATAATTAGTAATTAGGAAATGCTCCAACTTCTTAATCTTGTTCAGAAAGTTAAATATACAGTTGATTTCCTGGAGTGGTCAGCACCTCCCTAATGCTACAAAGCAAGTGTGTTTTTATAGCCTAGCCTGGTTTGGGATTAGTAGTTATTTATGAAACCCTTGCAGATAAAAGTAACCATCTGCACTGCAGCCTAGAACCTCTCGTGTCAATCCCTGCCAGAAGGAAGGAGCGTGGAAATCTCAGTGCCTTCTTTGAGAGTGTCTCAGTTTCCAGATGTGCAGAGACTGGAGCTGGGTACTCCTCTGTGATGTGCCATTGCACAGCTCAGCTTAGTTCTCGCTTGGCTTTGACTCTGAGTACACTTGGAGCAGATCTTGCATCTTTTGTATGAGACCTGCAGTTCACCTTTGCAGTCAGGCTCCTTGGCTTCATTAGAGTGCTGGGCTTGCCTAAATGCTGCAGTGCTGGTAGCTTTAAAATGACTTGCTAACAACCACTTTCATCTTCAAAGTGTCTGAGAAGCATTGCTTAGGCTTCAGGAGGCTGTGAAATAGGTAAACATTACTTCTGTGTTATAGGAGAGATGGAAGAAGAGGAGGAAAGGAAATTAGAGGAGGGAAGTTGTAGTGAACTGCCTGTGGTAGAATCACCTCATGACAGACCAGTAATTATAGTGCGGCAGTTCCCTTCTCTAATGGGTGCTGTGGAATTTGGGATTAGTGCATGTGTGCTTCCAGGAGTCCAGCTGTCACAGCAGAAAACTAAATGTCTAAGTGAAACACACTGAATGAATACCCTGCAGTAAAACACAAGAAATAGCAGTGAGAGAGTTTAAAATTTGCCACAAGTTAGGGCAAGATGTTCTGGAGAAACTACAGAAATTAGGCCTTTATAGCTTTCAGTTTGACCGAGCTTTTTCTCTTGACAGCTGTTTTCCTTTCCTTCTAGATGCTACTTTAACAGTGTTAAAAATCTTGTGGGTCTAGTGGGGGAAGATTCCATTCATGTGTTGGTTTTTTTCTCTTTGATTTCCACCACCAGATGTTCCTCAGAGAGCTAGCCCTGTGGCTGAAACGAGCACAATTGAAATTCACAGAGAAGATCCAGAGGAAGAGCTTGGGATGAGAATAGTGGGGGGTAAGGACACCCCACTAGGAAACATTGTTGTTCAGGAAGTCTTGCGGGATTCTGTCATTGCTGCAGATGGAAGAATAGCACCTGGGGACCATATTCTTGAGGTATGCAACCCTCCTGTCTCATTGCTTGTCTTAACTAAAGGGATAAACAGGCAAAGTCGCCTAGAAGAACTGGGAAATCTCTACAGAGAAGGCTTTTTTTTTTTTTTTTTTTTTAAAGCACTGATCAGACATGTCTGTCAATAGCATCATCTGTCTCCTGGAATTGAGAAGTAGATTTGAGGACCCTTCTGATCCCTCCAGATTTTTGAATTCATACCATTTTGTGTGAAGTGAAAAGATCTTTATGTGATAAACTGCACCCAGTAGCACCATTTCTCTCCAGTGGATTGTGCTCTAGCTTGGAGGTCGTAGTTGCTTGCTTTACTATGTTGCTTAAGCTGCATTTCCTTAATGGGCAGGTAGGAAGCTTTAGACCTTACAACTTGAAGTCAACGTCACATATATAATGTGAGTAATAAGGAGCACCAGCCTTGTACCATGCTGACCCACGGCCAGACTTAGTTTCCAGATGAATCTGACAAGCCGTTACGCCTCTTGCAGTGTGCTGACCGAGGTGACAGAGCCTTGTCCAAGGCACTGAAACCTATGTGCAGGAAAACTGTTAGCACCTTCCGGCTATGGCTGCCCAATCATCTGACAAGCCATAAAGACCTAATTATCCTGTTGGGCTGTGGACGTCAGTAATGAGTGGCAGCCTTGTGCACAAGTGGCCGATTGAATCTCCAAGTTGGTTTCTCATGCAGACCAACAACACAACTTCTGCTTTATCCAAACTGTACGCCTTTCGATCTTGACTGGACTGTAATTAGAGTAGGTTCCCACACTCAGTAGCCCTGCTGCCATCCTGAAAGAAGGACACTACAGTATCTCACGTGGCAGAGTGAAAATCAGCTTCTCAGAGTTACTTTGGTAAAAGCGTGATTAGGGCGACAATTCCAGAAGTTCTGTAGGCTGTGCACTGCTCTCCCAAGTGAGGGGTAGGTAGTCTCCAGTTCAGCTCTTCTCCTCCAAGAGCATAATGAATGCTGGAAGTCAGTGGAAAGCAGTTCTGCAGTGTCACGATCTAACATCCTGCACTGTGGGGTTTGTTAGCCACGGGAGGGCTCCTGTCTCCTCCATGTACTTAGCTACTCACCATCACCGATGGCCTTGATTCATCCGCTTTCTTCTGCATTGCTTTTATAGAAAACTCTGCTCTCTGATGTGCATGAGGAACAGCTGCTTCAGTCACGGCATTGAATAGGGATTGTGCATCCTGTCTCCAGCTTTGTGATGTTCTGCATTGTAGACAGTGCCTAAATTACATAGGTTCTGATTAGGGACTCTGGTTTGTTTGTTTTTCTAGGTGAATGGTGTCAACATCAGCAGTGTGACTCACTGCCAAGCTGTGTCCTTCCTGCGCCACCCAGGTCCTGTTCTCCACCTCATTGTCCTCCAAGAGAAAGGCTTTTCCAATAGGACTGCACAGCAGGACTCCACTTCTGCTACGAATCGGGAAGTGATCCATGTCACCTTGATAAAGAGAGACCGATCGGAACCCTTGGGAATCAAACTGATCAGGAAGACTGATGAGGCAGGGATTTTTATTCTGGATCTGCTCGAGGGAGGTCTGGCAGCCAAAAATGGGAAACTGAGTCGAAATGACAGAGTCCTGTCTATAAATGGCCAGGATTTGAGGCAAGGAACACCTGAGACTGCCGCACAGATCATCCAGGTAATTTATAATGTGGAGAAATTGTCTGGCTAATGATACTGCAGCTTCCTGCATTGATGGCAGGGCTCCTGCTCTGACCCAGGGGCTAACAGAACATGCTGCAGCGAACTGCCTTCCCTGAAATCTCTTTTTGGGAAAGTAACTGCTCTGCAGATGTGTGGGAAATGCTGCTTCCAAACAAAGATAAACATGAAGAGTGGGAATACATCATGAGTCATCTGACAAGTCTGAAGCGAGGCAGTTGCTAGTGGCACGTCAGCTTAGCCAAGGCAATTGGAATTTCTTTGTGGTGTGGCAGTGTGGAGAGTTTCTTGCAGAATAAGTATTTGTATGCTCTGTGTAGATGCACACATTACAGAAACCAGAACAGATTAGGACAGCTTCTTGTGCTTCGAGCAGTTGAACTGAAGATGTTTTCCAGACTCTCTCCACATCTCTCCATGCAAACAGCATCTCAGATTAAGAACTTTTTTAAATGCTAAAAAGGGTAGGAGAAGGGTGGCTTTTCATTCACAACAGGGGTTTGTTCTTATTGCAGCATGCCAAATGTGTTGGTGAACAGAGCAGGCTAGGAGTATTGATTGAGGAACAGGGATTGCTGTGTGTGCAGTAGATGTCACGAAGATCAGTGTTTAAATTGTTTATTTTCCTAGGCAGTGACCTCCAGTTTCCATCTGAAGATCCTGACACAATACATCTGATCACATACTGTTTATATCCTGGAAAGGATCCGAGGTCAGCAGAGTGAGGGAGAGCCAGTTCTCTTCCTGCTAATTAGCAAAGGAGAGCACAGTGCAGTAGGAGAACAGAACAGTAACAGCAGGATTCCAGCACTGAGATCTTTCCTTCTACTGTATGTGTGATTCCATACTATGGCCTGTTAGAATTGGTTTTCATTCTTGCTGTAGCGTGCAAGTGTAACTTCTGTATGAGGAACTTCATCCCACTAAGATCAGTAAGTCTCAGAACTGGCTTCAGTGGCTTTGGGAATTAATTCCTTTTGAAGTGACATTCTGTAGAACTGACATTTTCCCAAACGTTCTTTTCTTCTGAGAGCTTCTTGGTTAAACTTTGTTCTAATTTTGATTGCAAACTGTTTGGAGAAAAGTATTGTGAAGGACCATTTGCACCTATCCTGTATATGCACACCCATTTACACTGTACGTAGTGCCCTGCTCGGGGATGAAAGGGAAGGCAAATTCCCAAAGCAGGATGCAATATTTACAATGTATTTTGTGAAGACACAGATATGTGCAAAATTGCTTTGAGGAAAAAAATTGCATCCTGAAGTGATTTTGGAGATGAGAGACTTAAAGCTTCTGTTTTGTGAAAACCCTGTCCTTTGGTAGTTTAAAGACACACACGGACCAACCAGCTGACTAAATACAACAGAAGCAAAGCAGTTGATGCAGTCTCTCTTCCCAGGCCATGGAATTCACTGCTGCTTGGTGCTGTGGCACCAGAGGAGTGGGGAACTTCCAGTAGTGAGGACTTCTGGACAGCTGTACTTCTCTCATCTGTTGCAGGAAATGCCCCAAGCAAGCACAGACGCCTTTCGCCAATAGAGTCCTTCACAATAAGGTTTTGTTGGATTAATTCAGTTTCTTTCAGATAGAAGAGCAGTAACAATAGTGAATGCTTTTCCTGTACTTCTGCCAAGGCCAGATATACAGCTGGTTGAGTTTTTAACTGGCAGCAATCTTGGGCAAAAGGTCAGGTCTTCAGGTATTTGGGGGGAAAAACAGATGGAAGAAATGCTTAACAGCAGATGTGGCATATGGGCTGGGAGGAAAGGAGCTGTAACAAGTTTATTTACAGCAGAAGAAAAAGCATCTACTGCTTTTGTGATGGTTGTCCATTGTGTGCATCGGTCGTTCTGGCTGTTCATTTTGTATTGCGATACGCTGCTCTGGTTGCACGTACCAAAGCAGAGGAAGCAATCATCCTGTTTTGCCCTCTTTTGCTTGACTTGTAACGGTTTCAGATGTTCTTTTTGCTCCTGGCAGACCAGTGAATCCAGAGTAAACTTCGTAGTCCTGAGGCAGCCAGGTGTGCAGCTGTTGGACCCAGGGGAAGATGGCAGCACGTCAAACAACAGCAGCAGCAGCAGTGGGGGAGGAAGCCCAGTGCACCACAGGAGAAGGCTAGAGCAGAGTCACTACAGACGGAAGTCCAACTACCAGAAGGTAAGCTTGGAAATAACAGCAAAAACACTGGTTACCCTGGTCTGGTAGCTCTATTATGTTAGCTCTGTGACAGTTATTTGTTACGTATAACTGATTGAGTAGCTCCTTTTCTTCTTGAGCTGTTGACAACAGCATGTTGGTGGCTGTTGGCACTAGAAAACTCTGCATTTGTCATCTACTGGAAAAAAACATATCAATTTCCTCGTTTGTCTCTAGTTTTGATGCAGAACCAGTGTTTAATCCCTCCTTGTTTGGAATGGGCCATGGGAAATTCACAGTCCATGACACTCCAGCAGGGCCAGTGGTGGACTTCTTGACGTTCATAAAGCACAGTGTGTTCAGGGTGTCGTGCAGTGATGCTTCTGGTTTGGAGACACAGCTCTGTGACACAGAAGTAGAAGCTACACAGATCACGCTGCTGTGACTCGAGTGTTGTATGTGCCATCCATTGAATGTTACAAGAATATCCTGCAGGAGGAGAATTGCCAGTCTTCTGTACCAGTGGAGGTTTGCTTCGTGCTTAGAGCTGCCAGCTGTGGAAGCAAACATTCTAAAACTGCCTAGACTTCTGTGTCTAAATGCCTCTGAAGATTAGTAAGGAACCTACTTCTACCTCCACAGTTTGTTACATCTGCAATTATTTGCAAATTAACAGGGAAATAATAAACTCTGGTATTTAAACTTTAAGTAATACTCATACAGTCATTAGACACATTCATTTTCTAGGGATGCTGGCCATCTTTGTCAGCATCTCCAAGTTTGATTTTTCTTTTATATACAGTATCTCAAACAACTCCTATTTGTCTGTTTTATCCATTTATGTTATTGGCTTGAGGAGCAGAAATCAGGATGAGGGGTGATTATAATACAAACAGAGCAAATGTCAAGTTTCCATATGTCTTTTAAGTCACAAGAAGCAAAATAATTCAGCAGTTACTGATCCCAGTTTAGTAGTAGTCAGAAAGGAGTTGATTGCTTGATATGAGCGGCCTTGTCCCTTGGTGCAGAACTGTTCTCAGAGTGAGCATCTCTTCACAGCACAAGGAAGCAGGATTGTTGGGAGAGCAGCTGTTTTCCAGAGAGCTGTTCCTCAGTCACAGCAGTGTCACACTGGAAATACAGAGTAGTATTTTCACCCATAGTGAGTACAAGAAACTGACTTTGCCATCTAGCAGTATCTAGCATCTAGCCAAATGTTCTGAGTTAAAGAAACATAATGCCTATTTCGTTCTGACTCTGAGCTTTTCGTGTTAATTGCATTAATGAATCTGTGTATTGTATTGTCATTTTATTGTAGGAATTACCTCCGGGATATGTAAGTCATGAAAAGACAGTTGCAATAAAGAAGGAACCAAAGGAATCCCTAGGAATAACAATTGGAGGTGGACGAGATAACAAAAACAAGCTCCCTATATATGTAACAAGTGTACAGCCCATCGGGTGCCTCTTCAGGGATGGCAGAATCAAGCGAGGTAAGAATTTGGATTTAGATAGTAAAGTGAAATTGGAAGCAGGGTTCCACATGAGACCTTGAGGCAGGAACGTGCTTCAGAGCACAAGGTTTGCAATAATCCCATTTTATTTAATCAACAGGAGATGTACTTCTGAGCATAAATGGCATTGATTTGACTCATCTGAACTACTATGAAGCTGTCTCAGCACTGAAATCTAATGCAGCTTCCCACTCGGTCATACTGAAAGCCTTGGAAATCCTTTTAACAGACCCCACAGATCCCTCTCTAGACATCAAGGAGCGAGGATTCAGCTGGTCTCCCCTCTGGATCACATGGCTTGGATTGCCCAGGTACATTTGTTTAGTGATCTCAGTCACTGAGCTGACTTAACACTAGAAATGAACTTTGTGGGTTGACTTGCCAGTATCCTTGTTAGCTTTAAGGCACAGGAAAGCCTCATCTGCCAGGGAGATCACAGCACAACGAATGCATAAAGAAGTTCAGCTGTTTCTTACAGTGTTACCCCTTGTTTTTCCACTTCTTTTGCACAGTAACCATGTTTCAGAAGTTTCTGAAATTTTTATTTTTTTTCCCTTCTCTAAGAGAAGTGACACAGAAAATGAAGAGCATACATTTTGGAATTTGAGGCACTCACTTGAAATTTATTCAGCATAGAACCAGTCCCTTCTGAAATGTCACTAGCTGAAATCAGTGTCTCTTTCTGGATGGCATTACAGAGGCCAGCAGGTATCTGCTGCTTTACAATCCCGATTCTGATCATCTCATTCGGAGGAACTCTTTCAGTCTCATTCTTTCTGGCTGTTTTAACTGTGTGATCTCTAATGTGAAGCACAAACCATTCTGAATTGCTGAGTTTCCCTGCTGCAAAGCTTTGGATCATTAACTTAGCAAAGATTTTAGCAGCAGCATGTTACGTTCCATGTTACAGAGCTGAGACGTCAAAAACTTATTTTCTGTCTCCTTTCTGGTGAGCTGAACCTCTTGTTTGCTCACTATTGTGGTTTCATGAAAGTATACTCAGCCAGAAAAGACAGAATCTGTTGTCATTTCAGGTAACTGGAGAGGGATCGTGCAGAAGACGAATGTAGAACAGTAAAGCCAAACCCTTTTGTGGGAAGCTCAGATTATTTATAGCCTTGTTTCTTGAGGCATCTGAAAGAAGAAAGACTAACAAGCCTCTTGTTACGTTACCCTTGTGTTACTTAGCAGCCTGGAAGCGCTCAACAAAACAGCCCAAGGAAGGTGGCTTTGTGTCTCAGGTGACTAACTTGGCTTGTGCTCAGCACAGTCCTCTAGTTTCCTCCTCCCTCCCTCAGAATCAACTCGTCCGTTCTGTGCAGGCCTGCTGTGAACCAGTTCAAGCTGTACCTGGATGGCCCAAACCTGGGTTTGCATTCTCAGCTGCTAGCAGGTGCTTGTTCCTCTTGGGTGCTCCAGGGGCGAAGTACAGCCAGGAAGAACTGGCCATGCCTTCTCCCTTCTTCCTTTCTCCAATTCCTTTGCATGTTCCCAGCATTACCACCCTTCCTGCTGCAGGGACTGGTGTCCACTCTTTACTCACTAAGAACTTGCCTTCATTTCAAGCGTAGGCTGACATTACTAGCCATGTAATGCATTGCTGGAAATCCTTTTGTGCTGGTAATAACGTTCGCTCCCCCTTCCTTTGCCTGTTAGAAGGTCTCACTCCTGAAGCAGGGAGCAGTGATTTCAGATGCCCTTTCTGCTCTTCAGGCTTACTTTCTTGCACTGACCTTAAGGAGTCAACAAAATTTTTCTTGTTTCCAGTAGTAAAAATGGCTCCAATTCTTTCTCACCTGCTTTCCCACCTGCTTGTAGTAAGACCTGGTAGCAGTCAGCGTGGAAGCTTTAAGCTTAGTGTTGATGGCATGTAGAATTTTGGTTATGCTAAGCATTTTTTTTTACAGCTACTACTCTGATACAGAAGTCCTTAAATCCTTCTCAGTCGAAGCTTTCATGCTGAAAGACTGGAGTCAAAGTCTGGCTCAGGGCTAGAGAAATGTACTCTGTTGTTGCAACGCTTGAGCCTACAGTGTTTATTCCAGCCTGGGTTCTTGTGTCTGTGGGTTATTTTCTTTACATCAAATGCTGTCAGGCTGGCATTGAGTGACATGCAGGCTCTGAGCTGTGCAGCCCCTGGAGCCCATCCTGTAGAACTTGGGCTACGTGCCAGGCTACAAGGGCTCAACAGTTTCAGGAGATCACAGCCCTGGTCTTGTATCTTTCTTGGGATGCCAGGTGACAGAATAACAGGAGCATCTTGGTCATAGTCCTCTGAAAGGAAACGCTCCATGCTCATAAGGTCGCTTGGATACCACAACATTTGGTGTGTAAGCTTAGGTCAGAGTTTCCACCCTTGCCTCTGGCCATGTGTGCCTGATGAAGATGCAGACATCTGTGCTGCTGGAGGGATGAGGTGGGAACACTCTTCTCTCCAGCCTCAGGCAACAGAGCCTGGTGCCTGACATTCTGGCTTTTTTCTCTTGTAATACCACTGTGGGAAACCCTGCTGTCCCCATAGACTTCTACTCTCTCCATTGTTTTGCTAGTAATCTGGTAGTGGGGAGTGTTTCAAGTTAATTATATACTACTAATTACTGCTGTTAGAATGATTATCATGATCGCTGTATGTGTCACAGAAGATAGCTTAGGAGCTTCATTTCTTCATAGGATTGTTAAAGACCAGTTACTCATAGTGTAAATCTCAAAACATGGTGTTGGGGATTTAATTCATTGCTCTTTGAATCCTGGAGATTGAGTTACTCTCTCTTGCTCTGTATCAGCTTTTGACTCCTGAAACAGCCCCATGCCACACTAGGCCTAGCTGTTAATGCTCAGGGGTGGAAAAGCAGCATCCCTCTTACTTTGAGATCTATCTGCAGCCAGTCCACAAAGCTGGAGAATTCTGCAGTAACCTTGAGGTGCTCCCTGCTGTGGCCTCACCGGAGCAGCGCATTCCACAAACTCTGAGGGGGATGCAGATCTAGCAGGGAGCCTCCCAGAATAAAATCTGCACCTTTACTTTCTGTGACGTCCAAATTATTTTTCTCATGGTCATTTTCTGTGAACATTAGTGAACTAATGTTTCTCTTCCTAAAAGCTCCTTTTCATATGGAAATAGATTTCTAGTAAAGAGCTTTTTTCAATTCTTGGAGAATGTGTTCAGTGCTCACTTATGTTTTATGCTGAAGTAGCACTTCTGTTCTCTGGGCTGTTTATCTGCACCAGATGCCATAATGTTTGTCACAGCTCTGTTTGTTTTTTTTATTTGTATAATACCAGCAGAAGAAAACTGGAGGCACCAGTAAGCTGCAGCTGGGTCTCCCAGCGTTAATGTGTGAGGAACTGGTGCAGAAGTAAACTTCTGTTTGAAAGCAGATAATTGGATCTCTGTCTCAGTGAGAAGTTAACTGAGAAGGCTTTTGAACTCTGAAACTCATCTGCAAACTGCTCAAGCAAAGCTCTTGAGGCAAAAACTTTGTAAAGGAGAAGTTCAGCTGCAGGAACAGCTCAGGGGGTGATCAGCAGCAATTCCACGCAGCCTGCTGTTGCCAGAACATTACCTGACTGCCGGCCTGTGCTTCTGCCATGCCTCTTCAGATGCCCTGCAAAGGCCTGGTTCTGTTAGCACTCCATTACTGTGTTCTGCCTTGCCGTGTGTCTCAGGCTCCCTGGGAGGGCACCTCACTGAGTGAGGCCAGCACTTAAGCGATCTGCTGTCTGCTATCTCACTGTACACAGCAGCCCTGGGTTAGCAATCCCTTCCTGCAGGAAAGGCATCTCGTGCTCCCATGTGGTATGCAGAAGGAATGCTGCCTCACCTCACCGTGCTCACTTGCCATCAGTGAGAGGTGGCTGCTGAATGCCTTCGTTGGACCAAGCTGAATAAAAATCTCAATTCCCATTGACTGCATGGGGTTTAGCAGTGCTGTTTATAGTTGATGTGGTTTTTGTTCCTTTGCTAGGTAAAATCATTAAGTAATTCTGAAGTGAATTCATGAATTTTTCAGTTCACAAGCCCTTTGAGAGCAGTCATTTTAAAACTCTATGACTACCACTGACAATGTAAGACTTCTAAGAGTCTGTTGTCTTCAGATTTGTAATTGTCCCGTAACGCACCTTGCACAGAGGGTTGCCTTCAGCCCATAAAATAAGAAAGATGAGGCTGCTGCATAGCTGCACTTCCCCCAAAGGAAAATGTAAACTTCTGGTCAGTTGGCTTTCCTTGAAGCATGTTTACAAACATTGTTTTTGGCTGTGCCTTCTTTGCAGCTACCTTCACTGCTGTCAAGATATTGTCCTCAGCAAAGGCAACCAGGAAAGCTGGGGCTTCAGCATTGTAGGAGGCTTTGAGGAGAGCAAAGGAAACCAGCCCTTCTTCATCAAAACCATCGTGCCTGGGACGCCCGCCTGCCGCAACGCAAGGCTGAAGTGAGTGTGAGCCCTTCTGTGGGCTCGAGGCAGAAACGTCGTTTCACTGGAGAGCTTTTACCCTTTTGACTGGCTGAGCTTAAGTTAAGGACTTCTAATCCATAGCTGCACACTTAGGCAGTTAATAGCATTACAAAACCCTGTATTAATGAGTGCTTTTTCTATAAAAGCGTAACCACCTACTAAAGGGAATTAAATGTGGTATTTTAAAAGGCTGTAAAGGCTTTAATTGAGTAATTTAGAAGAACTAGAAAGGGGATGTTCCAGATTAACCATAGAGGCTTCTGAGTTAAAAAAAAAAAAAACAAAAACAAAAAAAAAAACAAAAACAAAAAACCAACCAACCAAACAAAAAAAACCAACACCTGAATTATGAAGACTGTCTCAGTGCAAGAAGGAAAAGCCCTCCTGTAGAGAAAATGGAAGGTAGCCTTGCTGCCCTGTCAGTAATGCAGCAGGCAAAGTGGTGAGTAGTCTGCATTACCTCCAGGATCCACCAGAACCAGCTCTTCCACAAGCATGCAGCAGGCTGCAAGTGCAATACTGTTACAGGCTGCTCTCTGGCAGGGGGGCAGTCTCAGTGCAGTGAGTCAGGCTTTGCTACCCTGGGAAGCACGGAAGAACAGAGCTGCTCAGAGCCCTGGTGGGGGCCTGGGGCCAGCTGGGCATCCTGTTTTAGTGCCTGGGGAGCCCTGTAAGATTGAGGGAAGGACAGGGGCTTGCTCTGGCATCTCATCCCACTGCAGCTGAGCTGTACAGCCACATGGAGGGTATCTGGGTGTGCTGTGGTTGGATGATGCAGGCAGCCTGACAAACCTATTGGATCAAGCTACAGTGAGAGAATGCCTCAGCCTGTGAGCATTTCTCTTGGCCCAGCCCTCTACTGCCAAGCCAGCCAGTTACACTCCTGTGCACAGCACTGTCTTCCTCCCCCTGCCCTCAGGTTCAGGACAGCACTCATTTCTCTGTTTGCGTCTGCTCTCTTTTTGCCCTTTATCTAAGAGTCATTTCAGTAAAGAATTTATGATCTTGGTATGGGGTGGAGTAGGTGATCCTGGTGTCCAGGGTTACAATGTGAATGAATTTACTCATGATGAGCTCATTTTTTGTCTTTCTGATTAGGTGTGGAGATGAAATAGTGGCAGTAAATGGCGTACCAGCAGTTGGAATGAGCAACTCAGAACTAATCCCAATGCTGAAGGAGCAAAAGAACAAAGTGACGCTTACTGTGGTATCCTGGCCAGGGAGCCTTGTGTGAAAGCTGTGACAAATCATGCAGCAGCCTTAAGGATCATCCTTGGTATCAGATATTTGCTGACCACCACGCTGAGCTGAACACGACAAGCTGAGGGAATGCTGAACTCTTGCTGTACAGCACACTGCCTCATGACAATGACTTTCACTTCATTTTTGGAGAAAACATTTCTTTACCGTGTGGAGGTTGCCACCGACTGATTGTTAGATTGAAGGTAACGGTGACTCAGAACACTTGTAGCTTCTTGGACTCAATAGAGCTTTTAGTAGTGGTGTTGCAGTGCTTCTCTACGACTCACCCATCTTTGCTTTTTAGTTTTAGAACTCCTCTTTCCATTTGATGTTTGGACCAGGTTAAAACAGATGTGACTGGCCTGTTTCCCCTACTAGTCCATGAATACCACTTGGCTGCTGCTCTCTACCTTACTGCCATACTGGACACTGAATCATTTTATACGTTTATAAAAGCCACTAATAAAACTGTGGGGATGCAGTCCAATTAAGCAGGTAGCCCACAGCTTTATGTTCTTAGGCTGCTTCCACCTACTGAATGTTTTTATACATCAAAGAAGTTTGCAGCTGAAGAGCTGCCAACTCAGCATGGCAGGGCTGCGTTGACTCCTATGACGGTCCTATCACCAGGTAGCAGAGATGAAGAACTTGGGTAGTTTATCAATTCCCTCAGCTTGATGTCTCTGGTTTTAAGACCTGACGAGTGACCAGCTTTTCCCAAAGAAGGCAGATGGCTAAGAAAGCAGGTTTGTTGATGAGAAGCTGTTTGTCTTTTAGTTTCCCAGCGTTGAGAGGCAGAGCTGAGGCAGCAGGGACAAGATGTGCTTGCAGCTCTGTCACTGCTGTAAGAAATTGCAGTGTGCTGTGTTGGAATCTCCAGGATAGGACACCTCAGGCTTCAGTTCCAACACACTGCGTAGGTTAGAATGAAAGAAATGAAGTCCCAGCAGGTTGGTTTGACCTCCAACCTGTTAAATTCCTACCTGGAAACAAATTCTACTTGAAGCAATTCCATCTTTTTTTTTAAGTTGCTAATTAGCAGTATAAGAAACAGATCTTTCTCACATCAGAGATCTGTCTGTGCTGTTTCTGCTGTACCTTTTATGGAACCAGCTCAGACTGTAAGATTAATCAAAGGAGTCTCTTCTGTAAAAATGCTACCTAGAATGAATGTTTTAATTCCTTGTAGTAGCAAACAGACTGCAGGTATGTGCCCATCATCCTCAGCAATGCTTTTCTTAGGGCTGGCTATTGGTAATTGGCTCTTAGAGCAGAGTAGACCTGTTTCTTGCTAGATGATTGAGCTGTTTACACACCAAGTGACTTCACTTCCTCTGGCTGTTAGCTGAAGGCAGAATACAGCAGGCCCTTTTATCAGAGCCTGTTGTACAGAAATGGCTTAAGATCCATTTGTCTCAAAAGCTCCCCTGGCACATGGTGTGGCCTCTCCATTTGGCCAATAAATGCAGCTACTGTCTTAAACAGCAGAAAGAATGGGATCAGCTGTTGCTGCTAGCTAACAGTGAGAGTGAAATGACGCTGAAGTCAGAAACGTGCCTGTGGAAAACAAGTCACTTGAGCTGCATCTGACAGAAAAGAAGGTGAAGCACTTTGGTCTCCTTCCTGTCATGATAGAGAATCTGTGCCCAGTATGGAACAGTAAATACTTACAGAGGTGGAAAGAAGGCAGTTCTTACTGGGTTGTAACAAATGGGGCTTGTATAAAGGATGGTAGGAAAAGGCCATGCAGAGGGTGGTCAGACCGTTAAAATGAAGGGTATGCTGCAGCAGTCAGCATGACTTTTACTATTGCTCCATCTCGTTTCAAGGTGCCTTGAACTTCACCAAAATGTCCTCATAATTAAGTACTGATTGCAATATCAGCTTGTTAATAGATGTTGAATTTGTTTTGATGCCTTTATAAATTATTCTAATATTACTGAAAGCCAACATGGATTATGGGTGTTTTTTTCTTTTTTCTTTACCCTCTTGCACATCTTTATCCTTTTCTTTACCATCTTGCACATCTCCCAGAACAAATCATCTCAACCAGCTTAAAGAAGCTGACCTTGCCAGGAGTTTGTGCAGGTGACTTCTGCTTCTCCTGGGAGAGGAGCTGGATTACCCAGAAATGCACTGTGACTGGAGAAAGAAGAACAAAACCAACTCCCACATGCTCTTTTCCCTTAGCTATCTCACTGGTGCTTGTGGGGCTCAGAACTGGATGGACTGAAAAAGCCAGCCTAGGGAATAAAAGCTTTATGCAATGAAGCTTAACTCCCTGATCTCTCGTGAATATTAGAGTCACCATTCATTAGCTCAGAAAATGTGACATGAATCTTGCAGCAGTTACTTGGCATAAGCAAAGATTATTTCCAAAGCTCCATCTTTATCAATCTCTAATACATCAAAGGCAGACATTTCACCTCTATTTATTGTGCTAGAATAAAACTGTGACCACCGCTAGCATCAGTGAAAGGCCTGAGTCTGTCTTTAGGAGGACATTCACCAACATACACGAGGAAGGAACTGGCAGCAGTAACTCTTCAAAAGAGGATTCTCTACTTTCCTCCCCCCTTTCATGACACCACTGTGAAACCCAGGTGCAGCAGGATGCAGACTGGATGTGATCACTCTTAATTACACCCATTTAAAGGTTGGGCAGCTTCTGCCACCTCCACAAACACAGGAAGAGAGAAGGGGCAGAGATGCAGGGTGGTTCTGTACACCCCTGGACCTGAGTGCAGAAATGGAGAAGGAACTGCCTGGGGGCTGAACTCCACACTTACCTTAGCGTGAAATTCTACTGACAAGCATTTTCCCCTGATTCAAGAAAGGCAAAAACCAGCTCAGCCAGGTCTGGGGGCCACTGCCTGCCATTTCGCTCAGTGCCCCAGTGATTTCACAGATCGTGTTCTGGAAAAAAAAATCAGATTTCATAATTACAGAGCACAAGCTCGCTCTGGAGGCACCAGCAAGGATCCCTGGTGCTTCCCCCTTTTCCATGCTCCCCAGCAGCGCAGGAGCACGTTTGTCACCACAGTGCAACGATGAGGATGCAGACATCTGTCAGCAGCAGGGCCGGCTCCTGCTCTCCGTCGCTCCCATCGCTTTCTTCTACAACAGGCCAGCCACACCAGTGTGCTTGGCAGCTGCAAATTGCACAAAGGACTGGAGTCTGCACAACCACAACCTGTTTTCCTGACAGGACTGCTGTCAGCCAAACCCTCTTGCACAGCACCACATTGTGCTGGCCCAGCACTGGAGGACAAGGCAGAAACGGCTTCAACCAGCCTAAAAAGCAAGCTGAACTGCGGCCTCTGCCAGCACCGAAACACACCCAAAGCAATAGGAGACACCAGCACGCTTCCAGACTGCATGCACGCAGCCTTCTGCATCCCTCTCAGTTTTATTTCTATCTCCCCTGCGCTCATCCTGCACCCCAGCTGCTCTCCTGGCCCTGCGAGCACTGGGGGCCGTGAAGCCTGATTGCAGCCTTGTTCTGCAGCTGGTTGGTGGCACACACCTCACCCACACATGTACATCCCATGACCTCAAAGCACATTTTAAAAGCAATATTACAAAACAAACAACAACAAAAAAAACCCCATACTTTATTCTTCTCCCCATAGGTTTGGTAGTTAATGACCCATCAAATGCACCATCATAGCATATAAACTGTTGCCATAGTGCTGTACTGGCTCAAGTCTCTACAGTTGTAAGCTTCACATGACACTCCAACTTGCAAGATTACGATACAAAAAATATGTAAAGTTTCAAAACCACATTATTTGGGGGCAGAGATTTAGAACAGTTTGAAATATCAAGTCAAAACAGTGGAAGATACTTAAAATGAGACACATGTGGATTCATGCTAACAGAAGTGCAACATTCTCTTTAAGAACCAGGCATACCAAAACCCTCAAAACCACTTCCCCTGTTTTTCCCACCCAGAAATATGTTTGCACCCTACTCAACCAGTACTAAAGTCCAAACAAAGTCTGGAATTTGACTGAATTTATTTTAAGATTTAAGGGGGGAAGGAATGCATTGCACAGGAGTGTTGGTAATATCCAAATAGAAATAAGCCAACCCCATGAGGGCAAACTGCTAGATGGAACTTTTTGTTACCTACTGTGCTAAATTATTCAGCTCAACCCTTAGTTAAAAAAAAAACAACAGTTAGTCAAAGCTAATTAAAAAGAAACTCATGCTCTTACTATGGGTTGTCCATTGGTTTTCCACTTAGGGGTGTAACGTGGTAGAACTATGTTTATGATGGATTAAAAGAAGCTTTGAAGTCTTTGCATACCCTGTGTGAACACAACAGCTCCCCGAAGGCAGCAGAGCACAGTCAGACAGACCCAGGCCCACCAGCACGAGCTGCTCCTCCTCACAGGCTGTCTGCCTGGCACACAGAAATGGGAATGCGTTTTCATAGCTACACACAACTGTACCTGGGGGTGAGACTTCACTACTAGGAGCCAGTCTCTAAGCTGGCTCTTGGGATCTAAATCACACTTTTCTTTGGACAATAAATTTCAAGTTGCACTTACTGTCCTGTTTTTCAAAAAAGGAATGATGGACATAAAAAAAATAAACAAAAACTATTACCTAAATGTGTTAGTTTCAGCTGAAGCCATCTTCCATCAGAAACCATAGGATCTGATACGACAAAGTTCTCCCTAAGGATGTTCATGAATAGAGTAGCTCAGTGCTTTATATACTAGTACTGCTGTATTTTGTCTCGTATCAAAAAAGAAAACAACAAAAAAGGTTTAACTGCACGTGCAGCCTCAACTCGAACCACTGCGATGAGCTTCACTGCTCACCCAGAGCCAGGCCCTCTTCCCTTGGGAAAAAAAACACATGAAGAAAACACAAAATAAAACCAGAATGAAACGTCACCGCCGCCCCGCTGGTTCCACAGGAGCACGTCCCTCCTGGGCCCTCACTCCTTGCTGTCCTGCTCCTCTCCCTCCTGCGTGCCATCCTCGCTGGCCTCCTTCTCCTCCTTGCTGCGCTTGTTCTTCTTGTGCTTGTGGCGCCGATGGCTCTCCCCTTCCTCGCTCTCGTGCTGTTTGCTGGAGGGGGTGGAGAGAGGAGAGGAAAGGCCTCAGAGCCTGCAGCAGCACAGCTCTGCCACAGCCGAGACCAAACACACCAACTGTGCAGCACAGGCAGAGCACTGGGATCCAGAGCAAGAGGAGGCAGAGCAGCAATGCGGGGCACTGCGCTGCCGTGGGAAGGTTTTCTGCTCGCTGGGGATGATCGGGCACCAGCTGCACCTGAGCTCCAGGCAGCTGTGGGATGCCCCACACTGCAGCAGCACCCCAGCTGGGCAGGCAGTGCACTGTTGGGAATGCTGTCAGGGTCACTGGGGTAGTGATCTATTTGTTTATAATAAACAATTACATATAGTCTGTGTCCATCCCACTCCTGAGGGAACTCCGATAGCCTTGCCATATCACCAGTTTTGATATAAAGCACTGAGGCTGCTGAGAAAAGGAAGAGTCCTAAATCTGAGAGATGCTGGGAAACTTCTGCTCTTCTGAACATGCTGGGGAAAGCCCTAGGCCAGTAGCAAGAGGTGGGTCGATGCAGCTGAGAGACCCGGGTTTCCCAATGGGAGGGTAGGTCTGCTTTTGTTTTCTCACAAATGACCCAGCACTTCACCAGCTATGTGCTTTAAAGCTCCTCTATCTCCTCCACTGGTTTCCAGATGCATTGCTGGGGGCACTGACCCAGGATCCCTGGCACAGGGCAGCAACCCCAGCCCAAGTGGCTGATGGGGTGGTGCAGGGGACCTGTGAGCCCCACACTGCTCCTGCAGCACCTGGCAAGCCCTGCGTTCTCTGTGTTCTGTTACTGGCAGGTAACAATATGGCAGTGGTTTGTGCCACACTGGTGGTTTAACTACCTGCAAGTAATTTCCTTGATGCCCAGTAAACTGGAAACTACAGCAAAGCTCTTCCATCCACCCGCAAATGCCTTGACCAGGCCCAAAGCACAGCCAGGTGGCTCAGGAGGGTCTCTGATGACACTAGGAGCGGCCTCACACAGAAAACATTCCTTCATTTGGTTTGGAAAAGATACTTTTCATTCTGCCACTTTGAGCAACAGAGAGTGCATCTGTGTGTGGTTAGCAATCAGAGAAGTCACCTCATTTCCAACTGGTGGAGCAGCCCAGTTCTCCAAATCAAGCTCTCTGATTTGGACACCAATTTGGTGAATTCCAGTCTGAGTACAGGAAGCTGAGAAATAGCCCTTAAAGCTATTGGCCTGTTAGGCCAGTATCAGCTCAGCTTCCATTTGTTTTCTGTTTCATGTGGATTATGCTCTTAGCCTTTCTTTCCATCCTTTCGTTTCCAAACCTTCAGAAATCTGTCCCTTTTCGGAAACCTAAGGATGAGAACCTTAAGGACGAGAACAGCCTTTTGCCCGCAGTCACTATATAAGAGTTTTTCTGACACTGCATTCAAGAAAGGGGAATTACTTACAGAGCTGTCATGAATTTCTTCCAAAAGAAAGCAAGCACCAAAAAAAAACCAAAGGGAGCAAGTCTGCTCAAGTCATTACCAGGGTGTAAAGTGACGCAGCAACTGAGATTGTCTCAGACTGGAGACCAGACCCGCTCTGCACAGGAACACACAATTCCGAAATCGGATGCTTTTCCCGTGGATTTGCACTATGCATACATCTCATCTCTGGGACTCACGCAGCTCTGATGCGGTATCTGGTGCAGGCCGACTTCCCCTTTCTGAGACAACGCTGCAGTCCTGTAGCACCGACCGACATCCTGCCCCACTGCAAGCAGCAAGGCTGCTCCCTGCCCAGGCACATCTCAGGGCTGGAGCAGATCACAGGAAGCCGGCATGACCAAAATACACCCTCGGAGCACTTGGCATTTTGTCCAGAGCGAAGGTGAGCTCCCACCGGCAGCCCAGTTC